GGCTAGCTGTGAGGTGTAGCCTAATGCTAGATAGCCTTTACTATACCTAGTGAATCTGGCTATCATACACAATAATAATTTATCAAATCGGACTGGTAGTTCCAGAGATTAGCGTGTTAAAACAAAGAAAAAACCTTTATTACATTAAGTATAAATTCTATCTCATTCTCTAGTATAGATTTATATATTAGTCTATTTTTAGTGTCGCTTTTTTGAACTGTTTCATTTGTTTCAAATCACAACGTATAGTATATAACATTATTGAAACTCAAAATGTATACCAAATTTTTTCCGCTTCAAAATGTTCCCCATTCGATAGTATGCTTTTTGTAGGTTACGCGATAAATTTGTCAATTTTAAACGGTCAGGAAGCTTTTGTGCCCGGCGGATACCTCATAATTGATAGAGGCCCAAAAACTCCGTCGTGTTGATTGGTGTCGTGAAATGGTTCAAAGATTTAACGGAGGTAACTCAAATGCTGTGTTCTACATACTTACGGGTGACGAAAGCTGGATTTATTGTTATGACCCTGAAACTAAGAGACAGTCTGGGTGTTTCCTTCCGAGAAGTTGCCACCTAAAGTGAAGAGAGGTCGAAGCGTGGGAAAAAAGATGGTGGCCTCGTTCTTCGGAAGGACAAGTCATTACGCAACAATTGTTTTAGAGGATCGAAAAATAGTTATTGCAGAGTGGTACACTAATAATTGTTTGCCACTTGTCTTGGAAAAACTTCGGGAGAAACGACCTCGCAGTAGGATCCTCCTTCACCACGACAACGCCTCGTCGCACACCGCCAAGCAAACAATCGACTACTAGGCGACGTTAGACGTGGAATTACTGGGTTACCCGCCCTATAGCCCCGACCTCACACCTTGCGGTTTTTATTAATAATAATAATAATAATAATTAATGTCCGAAAATAAAAGAAAAACTTCGAGGAAAACGTTTTATAGACGCCGAGGAAGCAGTGGCTGCGTTTTAAAATGCCGTCGAAGAGACCCCTAAGGACGAGTGGGTAAAGTGATTTTCTCAGGGGTTCCACCGGATGCAGCAATGTATTGATGTAAATGGACACTATTTTGAAAATATATAATAATAACTTGCTAGTTTGTTCAGTTTTTTATTTTCTAAGAACTTTCAGTGTCACCCTCGTAATAATAAACAATTATTCTATACACGGGTTTCAAAATTTATTATGTTAAAAGTTAAAGAATATTTATTAGAATAAATCCGCGTCAAAGGTCAGCAAACCTACGTGTTTGTTATCAAAATGTAATAGAGAAGACTATGTATAATAAATTATTAATCCAAGTTAATATGTACGCTTGTTTATTGGGACAGTAGGAAAGTTAATTTAAAGTTATTGACTGATTAAGACCTTAGGCGTCATTTTAAAGTAAGGTATTTTTATTTTTAGTAAATTAAGGTATTTTCTTTTTAACCGACTTCAAAAGGAAAAGGTTCTCAATTGTTGTATTTTTTTTGTATGTATGTTACGCAATATCTTCGCATTTTGTTAACGAATTTCATTGATTCTTTTTTATTGAATAGTTTATACTTCAAGGGTGGTCGCACATAATTTGGAGAAAAGATTTCACCCCTAAGCATAACAACTTTTACTTTTTGTTAAAAGTTATAACTATTATAAATATAATAGATTGCTATGTGTGTGTAATTTTTACAAGCAGGGATAGATGTTCAAGACGCAGGATAACATGACTTCTTGGCAAAGGTTAACTGGCTGTAATTATGCGTCAATTATTATAATATTGGTGGTAGGGCCCCTTTACCATGATTATAAGACTATTTTTCTATCATATCGAGAAGACGAAATCGATTTTCGAAATGGATTAGACACGGGGCGATTGCCACTTGTCTAGGCCCACAGGTGTTAGGATTCCTTTTCTGCCTCAGAATACGTCTCGGTAGGAACTACCCTCTCACCTATTTCTGCTGCCAAGGGAAGTGCATGTGGTTTATTATTATTTATAACAGGCTGTGAGGCGTTACATCTTCGTCCTCGTAAGTGACAACGCATCTACAGCCTTCTTTGTTTGAAGATTGTCGCAGGTCCACTGGCTACTTACATAGGTGAAATGTAAATTCGTTTGTTATTTTAATGTTATTAAAAATATTGTGTGGAATGCAACCCATAACTGTATGTTTAGTAATGACAATTGAGACCACAGATATACTAGGTATTAGTTATACCTAGCCTATTTTCCTTTCCTTTTCTGCTTAAAAGTATGCCTGAACTAAGACTAAGAGTTTATTTGGTATTTCTTTCCCCAAGCAGTAACGCACCTAGTGCTATATCCGGTTTGAAGGATAAAAGAACCAGTATTTCTACAAACTTTTTTACGTGGTAGAGCCATGCTGCAGCTATATTAGTAGTATAGTTGTAGCACCAATGCGTTTTTACTGGAAAAGAGGCATTCCATCTTAGTCCTCACGAGTGACAACGCATCTTGTATTTGACCGCGACAAATAATAATAAATTTTAAAAAATAGCTTTTACTTCCACAACTTTGACTTAGCCACAACTTAGTGCTTGATATATCAGCGGTGAACGTAAAATTTTGTAAAAAAAATGAATCAAGACATCGAGGAAGGCCTCACTTTCCTTCTCATTTTTTTGAGCTATAATTATTTAATCCAACAACAGTTGCCGTAGCCAATCTGGAGCAACATCCTAAAATTGCGGCAGCTGTTTTTGAAGACTATGGTAAAGTTTTCAAATAACATATTGTACAGTCAATTACACAAAGAAGATAACTTTCGTCTCGCTAGATAGGTTAGCATTCAAATCAGTCTCTTTTTTACCCGACTGCCAAGAAAGGGTTATGTTTTTCGCGCGTATCTTGTATGTATGTACATATTTGTTTGTAAATTTCTTTATTACCTCCTATCTTCCAAACGTCTGGGTGGATTTCGACACTTAAGGTGTCGTTATATTTGTCTTAATACCCAAGTGTCCTTAGAAAGCTGTTTGAAAAAATATAAACAAAATGGCGGAATTTTGGCGCGAAATAGTAATACTTTAATTTAAAAAAATCAAATATGTCGAGTAGAGTATCAAAATAAAGGAGATTAAAAGGGAAACAAATAACTTGTATATAAGTTATTTGTTAAAATTTAATTAGGAATAATAAATGGGTTTTTAAAAGTTTTTGCAAGCATTAAAATGGGTCATGTTTTTATCGGATTTCATGCTTCATATAAAATATAGTTATAAAAAAACCGGGACCCTAAAAGTCCTAAATAAAATAAATATTTAAAAAATCAAAAATCCGACTGCAAAAAAGACAATTTAAAACTAATGCACTAAAAAGACCGAAACCTAAATTAAAATAAACAATAAACAAAGTAAACTCTACTACGGTTTAACAAACTATATTATGAGCTGAAAGCCTAAGTTAAATAGCTGCATTAAGTTTAATAGAAGGCGGGACCTTATTGCGAATTATAAACCGAAAGAAAATTAATGGGGTCCGCTTGCTACTAAACTTAATGCGGATATTTAACTTAGGCTTTCAGCTCATAATATAGCATATATCCAAAGCAAACTAAAGTAGAGTTCACTTTGTTTATAGTTTCTCAATCTTGTTTTCGTTTTAAACTCGTGTTAATAAAAAGAAGCACAAGCCGCGGCTACAAGTAAAACCTGATCAATTCCCAGTGATAGATGTTCAATTGAATCGCCAGTGTATGAATGAATTTATTACCTAATTTATTTAGTTGCTCCACACAGCTCGATATGGTGTGGCGCTATCATTCCATCCATCCATCTATCAATTACAGCCTAGTCCACTGTTGAACATAGGCCTCCCCCATAGATTGTCTCATAAGGGAAATCTTGCCATTGTTGCCACACTTGACAGGCGAGGTGCCAACCACAGTATTTTTTTATTGCTATCAAGGAGACGCTGCTGCCCATCTCCTATTTCAGTTCGATCGTTTAGTTGCTAGGACCCTACGCTGTGTGGCTCTATCTCTAACAACAATTGCTACATGTTAGCATCGCAAATAATTACGTGTCTTAAACGTGTTAATGCCATGTTGCAGATATATTATAGTTGTATCACGAATGGCTCGGCTCGACCGGGGAAGGACCACGCTCTCACAGAATACCAGCGTAAAATAGCAGCTTAAAACCGGAGACCCTTTATACTGGTTACGGGCCATTCCATCTTAGTCCTCAGGGGTGACAACGCATCTGCATTTTCACTTTCCACTTACCATCAGGTGGGCTGCGTGCTCGCTTGTCACCCTTATTCTAAAAAAAATGCATAATTTTTTCATGACGGCATGATGAAACAATGAATCAGTGAAACAATTAACGCCTAGGATTGAACAATTTGAGTGGTCCGTGTAATATATTAAACGAATTCAAACTGTTATCTTACAATAAAATATGATTAAACTCGAAAGAAAATTATTTAGAAAAAATACCAATAAATAAGTCTTGTTTTCTTTTTACCGTAAACATAAATATAATAACAAAAGCGTTGTTACTTTTTAATTAGTAAAAATAAATTCAAAAAATTTTTAATTGAAATTAACTGCCATTGATATATTATAGGGTATATTAGGGTAAATTTAATATCTAATAAGTTTATATGAGGTTTTATCATTTTAATTTTATATTATATAATATTTTAATTAAAGCAAGCATCAACACGCATTGACCGCAAAGAAAATTTTCAATATGTAATCCAAACATTGTGTATAATTTACTTTATAAAACCTGATGTTACATATTATCAAAAGTTACAAATCGTTTTTGTTTTTTAATCATCAACATCATCATAGTACGTATTTTTGTGTATCTATAAAAAATATTGACATAGTAAAAAATTAATCACATATAAACATAAACAGTCAACATGACAAACATAAAACATGATTCCTTCTTATTTCGTTTTAAAATAAACAGTGCATGAGGAATTCACAGACAACGATAAATCTTTGCAAGATTAGTTAGAAAGTCATACAACCTACTTTTCTTAGTCTCCGTCGCTCCCGTAAAGTGGCAGCTTTACGCCGGTCAACTGCCGCGGTTTTTCTTTTGCACGCCTTGCAAGCCCATGCCAAACACCTCCTACTCGGACCAAACACGTGCTGAATATGATTTTCCTCCTCTTTCCCATCAATATTTCTAGTTTGATTTTCCGAACTTTTAGTCTCATTTTTTACCCCTTGACAAAATTTTTCGTTGGAACTCGGAACAACGTTGTCTTTGTCTTCAATCGATTTTTGATATTCAAAATTAAAGTTTTCATAGATGGCACTGTAACTCATTGTCTTTAAATTTTGACACTTCCGATGGCGCTTCTAATTATTTTTTTTTAATTTCGGGCGGCGCGCGCCGCGACTCCTACGACACTGAATTCAGCCGAGGGGTGAATCTCGAGTCGAGATTTACAAAATATGTCCGCTATTAATAAACTGTCTAGCTGTGTGCCGTCTAAGATCGTTGAGAGATGCCAATTTATTAGTGTTTGGATTGAAATTGATGCCGGCAATATTTTTTGGTTGAATTTGTAGCGATGAAAGCTTTCGGGCGTTTTTTTTTTAAATACTTTTCGTCGCTTTCGATGGGTCAATTTAAATGTCGTTTGATATGTGGTTTCAATCTGAAAACAAAAGCTTGTTACAAATTCAGTTAAATTTGAATTGTTAAAAAAAACTTTTTTTCTTTGTTAACTATAGGAAGTTAGTTATCATTTTATTTCGTTTTGAATAATATCTCATATATCAATAAAATAATATGTTTAATAAAATGCATAATAACCGCGTAGTTTTGGTGTAGGGATATCCACTACCCGACATTGGTCCGTGGGGTGGAGTGTCGTAAGAATCGTCAGAGGGAAACAAACCAGGAGATCGGTAGCAGCGTCTTCCAAAAAAAAAAACTAGAAAATAAAAACAAACCGCAGTTGCTAACCTGCCTGCTAAGCGAGGCTTCTAAAGCAAATATCTCCTTTATGAGTCAATATATGGGGAGGCCTGTATTCAACAGTGGATCGATTCAAATTTGAACTGCTCACACCTAACACATAGCCACGTATACATCATTACGATTTGTTTTGTATTTGTTTGGATGGATTCGTATTTTTACTTTAATATAAGTAACAACCTTATTTTGAGAGTTCACAAACCATTAAAAAATAAAAACCAATTCGTAATAAATTACGAACCGGAAAAACGAAGGTGTGTGAACGACCTATTATCCAGCCGTTTATTATTCGTTTCGTCTTTCGGATAAATTGTGTGTCCCCTTGCCTCTAACTCTAGATTCGATCTTATCCGATCTTCGTACGAGCGTTCCATCGAGCGTAGAAAAACAATTGTGGAGGATTTTCCTGTCTTTGCTCTGACGTTCACTATTATCGGATGATATTATTTTGTGCAGATAATGACTTCTTATAGTTAACGTGACTGAAATTAGCTCGGAGGACATCGTCAACTTATATCTACCATTTTATAAACTACCTTAAGTCTTTATTTTGTATACATTTATTTATTTATTCTTTCTTGTACATCAAAATACAAAATAACGAGTATAGTTAAATCGGCGGTCTTATTACTCTGAAAGCAATCTCTTCCAGACAACCTTTGAAGATAGATCTTTAGAAAACTTATAAAACAATAGTTAAAATAGAGGGGGAGGTACAAAAAAAAACCGGCCAAGTGCGAGTCGGACTCGCGCACCGAGGGTTCCGAACACATCCGTTTAAATTTATTGAAGAGATAGGCAGAAGTAGAGACTGAGCGAGCGTAACTTTTACCGAGGGAAGAAAATTACGTAATCTACATAAAGAGCTTAACGAAATTACATTTCTTCATATTTCAAATCTATTAACAGCCTTTTAAAGTCTATTGCTACAGACAAAGGCCTATCAATAGACCTATAGATCTACAGAACACACCAACAACCATGCTTGCATTATCAAAATCATTACAGCCCATAATAAGTTCACTGCTGAATATAGGCCTCCTCCAAGGAATGCCACAAAGCGCGGTCCTAATCCAATTGCACCCATCAACTACCTGCATCTCTTAACACGTTATCATGTGGTGTACATTGCCAAAGTTACTACGCTTGACAAGTGAGTCATCAACCGCAGTTTTTTTTTTATTATGACATGCTTTATTTAAAAGGAATGCTCAAGGTTTGCCTCGATAAACAAGTTACGGAAGCAAAGGTAACGTAAAAGTGGGGAAAGGTTTTACAAAGGGTCAGCGCCTTTGTATGAATTTTCTATCATTAGTTATTCGTCAGACTAAGTCCATCAATAACCAAGTTGCACTCATGTAAATATCATGTGTTCATTTCATAGCAGTGAGTACTTGAACAAATACATAGAGCGTCAACGTCAAGCAGTGTTAAAAGTGCGAGACATCTGGTAATTTGATCACCAATCTGCATACCATACATGTATGAAGAAGATAATGAATCTGAAAGAAGCGAAAGAGATATGTAAGGATCGTCACACTTGGCGATCTGTTCTCTCTGGCTACCCCGTCAGGGATTGTGCGTGAAGATAAGTAAGTAAGTAATCTGCATACCAAATATGGAATTGTTTTTTTTTTATAGGATAGGGTGACAAACGAGCGCACACAGTCCACCTGATGGTAAGTGGTTACTGTGACCCATAGACATCTACATATATCCCCAATAAAGACTCAAGATGCAGATGCGTTGTCGCCCGTGAGGTCTAAGATGGAATGCCTCTTTGCCAGTAAAAAGGGTCTCCGGTTCTCTACACTCACCATACGAAACACAGCAGCTATTTACTATATGAAAATTATATTATATGAAATTTAATTATATTATATGAAAATTTTAAACCTTAAAGTTTGTTAAGTGTAACAAACTTTTAAAATTTATATATAAAACTTATACACTTATGTGTTGAATTTCTGTCAGTATTTAATCACAATTGATAAATAAGAACATAAAGTACTGGGGTTGTTATAAACTAATTTGCTTAATTCCGCGTAAAGAAAGAAAATGATTTAAGGGCCTTAAAACTGGGCAGGACACATCATTTTCTTTCTTTACGCGGAATTAAGCAAATTAGTTTATAACAACCCCATTATAATGGATTTCCGCAAAGTAACGCCTGATTCTATCAATTAACATAAAGTACTGATTCATGAGCATCCGACAATGACTACAATTTAAAAAGGGTTACCTTGTTTCAACAAACTTATTAGATAGCTTTTTTTTATAGGATAAGGTGACAAACGAGCACACAGTCCACCTGATGGTAAGTGGTTGCTGCGGCCCATAGACATCTACATTTATCCTCAATAAAAAATCAAAATGTAGATGCGTCGTCACCCGTGAGGACTTAGATGGAATGCCTCTTTTCCAGTAAAATGGGTCTCCGGTTCTCTACACTCACCATACGAAACACAGCAGTGTTAAGCTACTATTTTACGCTAATTAATAAAAAAATATGCTAATAAATATAATAAAACTAATAACATGCTAGCTTGCTTAAACCCAGTAGTGTCAAGCTGCCATTTTACGCTGGTATTCTGTGAGAGCGTGGTCCTTCCCCGGTCGAGCCGATCCCTTCGTGCTACAACTATACTACTCATATAGTACAACTATACTACTAATATAGATATAGAGCTCTTATAATTTTCTTTTTAGAGAATCTTAAAAGCTTAATTTTGTTTTACTTGAATGTAAGAATAAATAAATGAAATACTAATGAAATCGGACATATTAATAAATGGAGGCTGATTACTATTACATCATATCAAATGTCCACAGCTGAACATATACTTTCCCCGTAGATTGGGATATTTCTCGTAGTTGCCATGATTGTCAAGTGTGTTGGCAACCACAGTTTTTTATTATTTTGATGGTGTTATCAAGAAGACGCTGCTGCCCATCTCCTGTTTCATTTCCCTCCGTTGCCTCTTACATCACCCACGGGACTATATGGGGTTGTGGATATTCTTACACCGCCACTACACGGTGTGCATTCGTAACAGATGGTAGAGCCATACTATATTAGTAGTATAGTTGTAGCACGAATGGGTCGGCTCGATCGGGGAGGACCACGCTCTCACAGAATACCAGCGTAAAATAGCAGCTTAATGCTGCTGTGTTTCGTATGGTGAGTGTAGAGAACCAGAGACCCATTTTTCTGGAAAAGAGGCATTCCATCTTAGTCCTCACGGGTGACAACGCATCTGCATTTTGATCCACAAATGAGGATAAATGTAGATGTCTATGGGCCACAGCAACCACTTACCATCAGGTGGACTGTGTGCTCGTTTGTCACCCTATCCTATAAAAAAACACATGAATAATTAGGCACTGTCAACTGTAAAAGGTTTGCAATCGTCATCAAATTGGGAATTTCAATAAGCGTCAAAAGGGAGAGACCTTTGGTCCTACGATTCTTCAGGCGTGCAGATTACAATACTTGAACTCTACATTAAAATGTACCTAAGTTGAATTTTGCTTACATTAGATTTAAAATTGCGTTTTCATATAAATGACAGTTAATAACGTTAGCAACGTTACATAGGCGTTATGTCAGAATAACCGCTTGGAATTGTGGGAAGAATTGAAGGCAGACGCGCAGGCGCGGTTTCGGGAGAAAGCGGGATGAATAGATGCTGGAAACGCCTAAAGAAATGAATGGAGTGGATTTAAATTTGCTTTTGTATAAATATTGCCTCATGCTTTATAAAATGTGAAATAACAGTGAAACACCTAAAATATAAACTTTTTCTTTAAAAAAATTGTTAAATATTATAATATGAATATATGTTTTAAAATGATTACTAATTATGTAAAAAATCGTTCTAAGTACATAATTAAGGAAATACTTATTTTATAATTTTAAATTTAAACGTGGTAGAGCCATGCTGCAGCTATATTAGTAGTATAGTTGTAGCACGAATGGGTCGGCTCGACCGGGGAAGGACCACGCTCTCACAGAATACCATCGTAAAATAGCAGCTTAACGCTGCTGTGTTTCGTATGGTGAGTGTAGAGAACCGGAGACCCTTTTTACTGGAAAAGAGGCATTCCATCTTAGTCCTCACGGGTGACGACGCATCTACATTTTGATTCTTTATTGAGGATAAATGTAGATGTCTATAGGCCGCAGCAACCACTTACCATCAGGTGGACTGTGTGCTCGTTTGTCACCCTATCCTATAAAAAAAAAAGTAAACCACGCCCGAATATATCATTTTAATATTCAGTTAACGCTAAATTAAGGAGGACAATCCAAGTAATCTTATAGTTATGATACAATCTTAGA